GGAGAACAGACTACAGGCGGATCGTAATATGGTTTCGACCGCTGTACGTGAACGGTTTCGCGACCTCAAAAGCGCTGGTCTGTGGATGGTGTCAAGGGTTCGATGATGTAGTTAATAGGTGAAGTCTGCGAGACAACGCGGTAGGGTCCCTGGTATTTTGAAACAAGTTTCGAAGGAAGGCTTGTAGGGACAGCTGGAACCCAAAGCCACACAAGGGTGTCCAGAACAAAGTTAGGGTACGGGTGGTTATCGTCACGCCGAGATTTTCATTTCCATTGGGTCGATGGTTGTGAACGATTGGGCGAGCTTATGGCATTCCTCGGCGCGGTGGGCAGCTTCAGAGATAAGCGTAGACTTGGAGGAATCGGGGTGATAGGGCAGAATGATATCTAGTGTGATGGAAGGGTCTCAGCTATATAACAGGAAAAATAGCGAAAAGCCCGTAGTTGCCCGTGGAGCAGTATTGTAGGCGTATGTTACAAAAGGCAGAATCAGGTTTCAGTCGGAGTGGTCTGAGGCAACATACTTTGATATCATGTCGCCAATGGTACGGTTGAATCTTACCGTCAAGCCATTCGTTTGGGGATGGTAGGCAGTGGTAGTCTGGTGGATGATATGGCATTCGGCAAGGAGTGCGTTGACGACTTCACAGAGGAACACACGTCCTCTGTCGCTGAGAAGTTCACGCGGTGCGCTGTGACGGAGAATGAAGTTCCGCAAGAGAAAAGATGATACGTCGCGTGCTGTGCCAGCAAGCAAAGCGGCTGTTTCTGCGTGTCGCGTCAAGTAGTCGACAGCGACAACAATCCAATGGTTTCCAGGAGCCGTGAATTGAAGAGAACTGTAAAGATCGATTCCAATGTGGTCGAAAGGCCTGGCTGGGCAAGGGATTGGCTGGACCAGACCAGAGGTGTGATGAGGCAGAGCTTTTCATCGTTGGCACTGCGGGCATGACTGAATGTACTTGCGCACAAAGGTGTACATGCCTCGCCAATAAAACCGGGAGGAAAGGCGAGCGTAAGTTTTGAAGATGCCCACATGTGCGCACTGATGGTTAGGGTGGAAAGCTGTACATATTGCAGCACGAGGATGGCGAGGTATGACCAGTAACTGTTTTCGGCTGTCAGACTTGTAATTCGTGCTATAAAGGAGGTCATCGCGGATCTCAAAGTGAACCGCTTGATGGCGCAATGTTCGAGAAGATGGAAAAGTCTATGGATCTGAAAGGAATCGCTGAAGAGTGTTGATCCTGTCATCCTTACGTTGCTCAGATGCCATGTCACAGTTTGCTGGAAACGCAACCGTTTTGTCCACGACAGATAGACAGGCAGAGCTTTGCGATGATACAGGTGAATGCGATAGGGCGTCGGCATCAGTGTGACGTTGGCCAGACCTGTAGACAACACACAAGTAAAACTCTTGCAACTGCAAATCCCAGCGAGCTAAACGACCGGAGGGGTCCTTCAACGTGGATAACCAACAAAGTGCATGGTGATCGGTGACTACGTCGAAAAGGTTACCATATAGGTACGGTCTAAATTTACCTAGAGCCCAAATAATTGCCAGACACTCCTTCTCTGTTACAGAATAATTCTTCTCCGCTTTGGTGAAAGTACGGCTTGCATAAGCAACTACGTACTCCTGGAATCATGATTTGCGGTGAAAGAGCACGGCACCGAGTCCAACACCGTTTTCATCGGTGTGTACCTCAATCGGAGCAGTTGGGTCGAAGTGTCGCAAGTTTGGCAGTGAGGTTAACAGGTGGCGCAAGTTTTTGACGGCATCATCACAGGCAGGTGACCAAGCGTAACTTTTCGAGTCATTCCGTAAAAGTTCAGTCAAGGGGGCGATGATCATTGCAAAATTCTGAATAAAGCAGCGGAAATACGAGCAGAGGCCAAGGAAGCTGCGCAGATCCTTCTGAGATGAGGGTTTAGGGAACTCTGCAACTGCCTGAAGCTTGGCAGTGTCAGGAAGGATACAGTCTTTAGAGACAACATGGCCGAGGATCGTGGGCTGACTTGAGCCGAAGCGGCATTTTTTCAGCTGAAGGCCGACGTTAGTTAGGCACAGTAGTACTTCATCTAGCCTGCGGAGATGCGTGGGAAAATCTGGCGAAAATATAACCACGTTATTTAAGTAGCACAGGCATGTTTTCCACTTGAGGCCTTGCAAAAGATTGTCCATCATCCGCTTGTATGTTGCGAGCGCGTCGCAAAGACCGAAAGGCATGACGCGGAATTCGTAGAGGCCATCAGGTGTGACAAAAACCGTTTTAGACTTATCTTCAAGTGCCATAGGGGCCTGCCAGTAGCCGCTCTGTAAGTCAATAGAAGAGAAGAACTCCGCACCTTGAAGACTGTCAAGGGCGTCGTCGATTCTCTATAAGGGGTAAACGTCCTTTCGAGTTATTTTGTTAAGACTACGGTAGTTAACACAGATTATTAAGTAACAATCTACAGTAATCGGAAACCTTATCGAAAAATGATGCGTAGTTTGCGCTGAGTATTTCTGACAGCCTTTATGGGCGAAAACCGAATGAAACAAAAGTGATAATAAGGAACGCGCGTGGCAATATATACACAAGATGTAATCATTTACATATTGATGCACTTATATAGAAAGATCACATTACTGATTACAAAGCTTTGGGACGGGATGCCTTTTCTTTTGAAAATTACAATTTTTTGGTCAATGGAGTATGTGACGAGAGATCTTGAATCGGAGGTTGCAGTCGGGGAAAGCAATGTCGATACAGGTGGCGAGTCGACGTTCTCTTGCCGCTGGTTCCGCACTCCCTTTTCTTCGCGGGCTCTCACTTCAGAGTTCGCCTCTCGACGAGCATTCTTCGCAGCACATGGTGCACATAATGCCTCACAGATGTGTAGTGGGTACCTTCGCCAATCAGCAGAATGACGATGAATGCTTTCCTACTTCATGCAAGTTACAACGGGCGCGTAGTGGGTACATTGCACAGCTGTGCCTCTAGTGTACACGCTAAAGGGCAAGCCCCGAGCGTAAGAAGTTTGGCGAGCAAGCTCCTAAAAACAAACCTGTGTAGGGATTGGCATAATTCTGCGCCAAATTCAGCTCCACTACTGTGAAACTTTAGCAAGTGTGTAGTACGGGTACCCAGCGATTTTCGTTCGTACAGTTCTCGCTGCTCCGTTTACCAAGGCGTCGATCACGTCAATGCTTAAGGTTCGCATGTACAGTGTCTTCAACCAATATAATCGTGTTAGGGAGATCCGAAAACTCGGTGTGTGACATCTACTGTAATTCTTGCTGCGTTTTGTCGGCTTCCTGCTTGTTACAGCAGTCATAATACGTGTTGTGTGCAGCGAACTCTGTCATGCCGTTTGCCGATTCATATTTAGCGACGAAGGCGCCACCGAAGTGGCGCCGGTGGAAGGAGCAACCGCGCGCTCGGTGAGCTGGTGGCGCCCTCTCTTGCACGACACGAGTGTCAGCTGCATGTTTCCGAAGAGTTTTTACAGATACTGAGTTTGCTTTTGCAATTACTTCTCGGTTATATCTACTAAGTAAATTATTTTTTACATCGTTTGTTATTTTAAATAACTTTTCAGTATTGGCAGCCTTGTTTAGGACCAGTATTGACCACTGGCTTGATTTTGAGCCTGGTCAAGTCACATGGTCTCAACAAATGGACGAAAAAACGGGCACCTAATATGATATGTACTTAAAGAAATAAAAGCAGTAGGTCAAGCACGGACAGGGATCGCTGGTCCCCATTGGCCTAATAGGGGAATAATTGCTAAATGTTATTTACTTATTATTACCACCCTAAACTAAAACAAAATGTTCGCACGGTTGGTTTCGGACGCAACCAACATTCCCTTATTGCGACATGCAGAGAAAAATATATTTCAAGCGCTTAAGTGGCCTATAGTGAGTTTTCAAATAGGGGCACCATAAGATTAAAGCTCTAAAGCCATTTCCCTGTGCTCACTTTGGGTTAAGCAAGAGCTATGAGTTTTCGAATGGGTCGGCGGCACTTTGAACACTGCCCCTATTATAAGTTATGCTAGCCATGGCAGAGGGCAATAATTTGATTGCGTGCCATCACGTTTGTTTACGCTGAGCTTTTGGGGAAGCATTTGGGGTTCCCGCTACATTTTAGAAATAGTGTTCCAAGCACAAAAGCCAAACCCTGTTTGGGTGTCGCACATACGCAGTGGCCTCAAGGCTATTTTTTCGGGAAATTTCCAAACAAGTGGGGTTCGAAAAAGTCACAGCTTTGCGGCAAAGGCGAAGCAATGAACGCGATAGCAACAATTTGAAAGGTTGCACACAGAATGGGAAGCACATCGAAACGTGCCCCGCGTTTCTCGCCCACAAATTATGCACGAAACGTACTCACAGGTACAGATGCACGCGAATAAGCGTCTCATTTGTAACTTTGCCGAGTCTGAAAAGTGCATGCTTTTCGCGTACGGAGACTGCAATGATTGCAGTGACCTTTGTGCGTCTGGTAACTACAGCAGAATCGTTCCACGTAAACCTCGAGGCCAACCAAGGCGTACAATCTTCCCCTCCTCGCCACCACGAGATAAGAGCACGCGAGGGAGCGTCTGTCCTCTTCTCTAAGCTGGGCAAAGTACGCGTAGAAGATTAGAGCGGGCCCCGCTGCGCGATGTGGCGACGTGCACTCATTGCGCCATCTTTCTGGTAATGACGAAAACGCAGCAGTGGTAAGTGGTAGATATAAATAGCCTGCCGTTTGAACGGTGAATAACGTTCTGCAGGGTGGCTTAGGGCTAACGCCTCGCTTTCACGACGCAGAGATTTCACGTTCGATTCCCCGCGCCGGAGTGCTTTTCCTAGATTGTTTTCCATTCTTGCCTTTTCATACATATATATATACATATATATATACGGTGCATGACATCGACGCCGACGGCAAAGTTCGGCCGAGGGCGTCCGTATATTTGCTATCGCAATAAAATTCCTATTACAAAGAAGCAAAAGCCAGCGCTCACTTTGGTGCGCCACCGATGTAGAGGGGACCTTCGAAGGGCCCAACGCCTTCGTCCTTCGCCAAGTCGACCATGACCGAGTCTAGGTTGACGGTGAACCGCATGTGGTGGGTGTCGTGGTCCAGCCACACCTGCTGCCACTCACCCGTGTTGAGGCGGCTGCGCGACAGGAGCTTGACGATGCGTGGTTCACCGTTCACGGTGTACTCGAACGACAGCTCGTAGTCTGCGATGACAGAACAGGTTGTTGAGTAAGGGTTAGCGCAAAATGGCATGAAACATGCTGTCTATTTTAGTATTATTTTTATCCCATCTGCGACTTTATGCTTGCCATAGGTGGCCCAAATAGATCTCATTTGGATGCAGAGACGGCAACAAAGCATCACTTGTGAGCACACCAACGATCTGAGATGTCGACACCCAGTAAACTTAAGTTGAAGTTTCAGTCACCAATTTAGATGAATGTCCGTGCAAGTGTTAAACACCATCAGGAAAATTCTCACTGAACCGAAAGAAACACGAACGGCCAGGATGGAGGCAACATGGATTAGCGCCGACTTACAGCTAAAGTTATTTGGCAAAAGACACATGTAAGTAGTGGAAAAAATATCGAAACTGCACAATAAAGCAAGACACTAACACTCCCCATCAAGACAAAAAGCGTGACAGGATTACGCATAAGAGCGAACTAGCAACTTTTAAACAGTTTATTTTGTGCTCAATGCTTTTCTGTGCACAATGCTTTGCTTTCTTCTAAAGTTTGTCGTTTTAACACAAGAGAGTTTTAAGCTGTGGTCCACCACGGCTCCGTGACTTTTTCGGTTGCAGATGCTACGTTGTGAAACATTTACTGTACAATGGAAAAGAAAAACATCAGAAGGAAAAATTCTGCAGTGAGGCGTCAAACCAGCCACCTCGCGTGTGCACCTCAACGTGCGACGCTGCCCACTAAGCCACGGAGTGACCCTTGTCGAACTTATTAACGCCAAACCATTTTACACCACGTACCACTGGCGGTCGTCACAACTCAGTAATTTCAGTGCGTTTTATTCATTAGTACAGAGATGGCACCGTGGGCGCACGTTGGCCGGACGCGCTCTAAAAGTTGTCTTGCCATGCTATTCCGCGCGTCGCTGTGCGTGCGCCTCCGCACGGCGGGGTTAAAATGCGTATAGATAGTCTCTATATAGCGTGATGTCTGACTCACGCACGTACTTATGACAGGTTTCGGGTGCATTGTATCTCTTGCGCTACCGCATGTTTGTTTAGGAGCACCGATGACATTTACCTCGCTGCCGTGGTTGCGTTTACGAAAGGAGCACGCTGCTCACACACGAAGAAGTGAAAATCGTGACCGTTGCTCGCATTCGTCCTGTGTGTACCTGTCCGTTCATTTTGTCGATCTTTCTTTCTCTTTCAGCAGCGTGCTCTAAGTGCCGAGCTGTGACAGTCGTTTGTCCACGCTTGTCCTGTGTGAGTGCGCTCATTTCGTGTGTGCTTCCTTTTGCTTGAGGCGAGTGCTGCAAGCTTCTAGCTGCTTGCCGTTCTTCGCGTGACATTGCAATTTCTCACTGCAGCATTGATTCCTTCACCCTTGTGGCAAAACAATGCACAATCAATGCTCGATTACCTCTACGGAGACACATTTCATTTTCCTCTTATACGGATTTCTAAAAAGAGGCATCAATCACGTTTTTTTAAATACGTACTCATAAGCCTTTTTTTTCGCCATATAAAATCTTAGTTGGATTTCAGTGCTAGTGTGTGTTGCCTCCCTCCGTCAATCAGAGTGTTTTTACGTGTTGTTAAGGTTGTATTTGTCAATGACCGCGAAGTTCATCTCTTCTCTAGTTAGTAGCTAATTAGCTCAATACCTGCAATCGTCTTAAAAAGTGCCGGTTAAACATTTCGAAGATTTGCACCGAGGCTACATACTTGTATAGTTCGCAAATCTTGATTAGAAGATTTGGAAGACATGGATGTTGTAGCAACATCTACAAGTGGGCTAGTGGGCATACCTCCACATTATCTAAGGTCGCGCAAAAGACACGACAAGTAGACATTGCGAAGCGTTCGTATTGTCTACTTTATGTCCTGTTTTTTGCAGTGCTTTATATAATGTGCAGTGATGGCGTAAAAATGAGAGAATGAGCCTCACGTGCAAGAGGTCCAAGGTTCGAATCCTGGCGCCACGCAATTGCCCGCCAATTTTTTCTTAAATAATTATCCCCATGAAAATGTAATTGCAATAAGAGGCCTGGAGTGCGGCCTTACCGGTGACCACCGCTAGTAACGCACTTTCTCAGCAGAAAAGGATTGGCTCCTCTAGTGCAGTATCTGGCCACTTCCTCGCAGATGAATGCACCAATTAACTTTCGGCCCTTACCCCAAACGGCTGTGAAACAAGTGACTACGGTCGCGGTCCAATCTGTGACGCAGCAGAGGGTTCTGAGAATGTCTGGTTCCGGACAGGCTGTCATAGGAACCCGAACTTGGCAATATTTAACGCTAGAACCTTGTCTAGCAAGGGATGTCAAGCTGTGCTATTCGAGGAGCTAGAGGGTGTTAAACAGCATGTAATAGGGCTCAGTGAGGTTATGAGGACAGATGAGGCCTATACAGGGCTAGAAAATGGACACGTCTTTGGCTTTCGGGACTTGGCTGACAAAAAAGAAAGGGGGGGGGGGGAGGGGGGCACTGCCTCTTTATCCAAAGGCTTCCAAAGAGACTTTATATTTTACATAAAGGGTTCCGTTTGGTTTGAGGACGACGCAGCGAACGATAGAAATCAAAATGAGAGGCGTAACCTTCAGACAAAAAGAGAGCATAGTGGGTCATGGAACGAACCGGTTTTAAGGATATCATAGTGAAAATCAACAAAAAGAAAAAATCGACATGGGCTGGGCACGTAGCACGTAAGCAAGATGACCGCTGGTCATCAAGGATAACCGACTGTATTCACAGAGTAGACAAGCGGGGGGGGGGGGGCAGAAAGTTAGGTGGGCAGATGAGAGTAGGAAGTTTGCTGGTATGAAATGACAAGAGTAAACACAGGGCCGAGTTGTGTGGCGCAACATGGAAGAGGCCTTTGTCCTGCAGTGGACTTTGTCAGGCTGATGATGATGACAAAATAACATAGAGGTTGCGTGCTGAGAGGAAACCCACTCACCGCTCGTAATCATGGCAAGCAGATAGCCATGCTTCTCGTGCAACGCCGCCTGGTAGAGGACGACAGCCCGCTTGCTGGACGTGCGGAAGCTGAAGGCCAGGTCTCCTCGGCGCCAGCCGGTCTGCACTTCCAGGTACGAAGGTGCTGTCTTGAAGGTGATGACGTACTGCTGCGTATCTACACAGAGACACAGAAGGTGACAAAGCTGACGATACCATAAGGCCTCAAAGCTAAATATTGAATATTGTCCAGGTATTCAACTCTCAAAGACAGCAGCAATATCGTGGTTCGACGCCGTTTGCCAGACTGATTCTTCAGACGAAGAAGATGCTCACAGTGACGACGATTATGTACAAGTGAAGATGAAGAAGAACAAACGCAGTGAATACTGAGCTCGCATAACACACACACACACACACACACACACACACACACTCACACGCACACACACACACACACACACACACACACACACACACACACACACACACACACACATATATATATATATATATATATATATATATATATATATATGCACGGCAAGTTATTTTTTCACCCACTTTTCTTCTTATTTACAATACATTGGTTCTAATAACTTCCCTTATACATTCCTTGGCATTATTGTCTGTTAGATCTCATTAATATTGTGTAAAAATACGGCAACAGGAGCCCTTAGGTATAGTCTATGACGAGTTGTAACAAGTGTATATTTAAGGGCTCGTTTTTCGTGTTTACACAATAATAATGAGATCTAACTGACAATAATGCCAAGGAAGGTATAGAGGAAGTTATTAGGCCAATTGTAATGTAAATGAGAAGAAAGTAAAGTGAGTGAAAAGATAACTTGCCGTGGGCAGGATCCAAACCTGCGACCTTCGAATAACGCGTTTGATGCTCTACCACTGAGCTACCACGACAGCTATCCCCCAGCCACTTTATTGGGTATCTATGTCAATTTAAACGTAGGAGTGTCAGTCAGCGCCACTAGTAGCCATGGCGGCGAGTGTAGCACACTCTTTATGAGCCTGTTTGGCGTCACATAGCACGTGAACTTATTACTAACTGGCAGCTGACCAAATAGTCCCTCGTATACAACCTAAGGGCACCAAGTCTGCCAGTACGAGACCCTCGTTAATGATTGATTGATTTGTGGGGTTTAACGCCCCCCAAAACCACCATATGATTATGAGAGACGCCGTAGTGGAGGGCTTCGGAAATTTCAACCACCTGGGGTTCTTTAACGTGCACCCAAATCTGAGCACACGGGCCTACAACATTTCCGCCTCCATCAAAAATGCAGCCGCCGCAGCCGGGATTTGAACCCGCGACCTGTGGGTCACCAGCCGAGTACCTTAGCCACTGGACCACCGCAACGGGGACCCTCATTAATGAATAAAGGAAACAAGTGTATACTTAAGGGCTCGTTTTTCCTGTTGATTGATTTGTGGGGTTTAACGTCCCAAAACCACCATATGATTATGAGAGACGCCGTAGTGGAGGGCTCCGGAAATTTCGACCACCTGGGGTTCTTTAACGTGCACCCAAATCTGAATACACGAGCCTACAACATTTCCGCCTCCATCAGAAATGCAGCCGCCACAGCCGGGGTTTGAACCCGCGACCTGCGGGTCAGCAGCCGAGTACCTTAGCCACTAGACCACCGCGGCGGGGCTCGTTTTTCCTGTTTACACAATATTAATGAGATCTAACTGACAATAATGCCAAGGAAGGTATAGAGGAAGTTATTAGGCCAATTGTAATGTAAATGAGAAGAAAGAAAAGTGGATGAAAAGATAACTTGTCGTGGGCAAGATCGGATCCTGCCCACGGCAAGTTATCTTTTTACCCACTTTTCTTTCTTCTCATTTACATTACAACTGGCCTAATAACTTCCTCTATACCTTCCTTGGCATTATTGTCAGTTAGATCTCATTAGTATTATATATATAGTCGGGCCGATGAGCCCTTATTTGTAGCACGCACGGTGGAAGCAGAGCGAAGAGAACACAGGCACATTGCACATGCGTAGGACAAGCGTCAGCATCCAAAAGGCCACAGGGGGAGGAAAAGCGGAAGGAGATAAGAAGGGGTGTGAAACAAGCCCACAAGCTTTTCGGTGGGAGGGGAGCATTGAGATTGTGGTTATAAGAGGGAAAAGAAGAAAAAGTGAGCCCCGTAACTGTCTGCATCAGCATGCGGCACCAAAACAGTAGCTCACAAGGAATGGGGGTGAGGAGGGATTAAAAGGATAGAAGTAAAGGTAGAGAGAGAGAGAGATGCGGAAGGACTGCAAGCGATGACATCAGACAGATAGGAAATAAGGAAACACGGTCACAGGAGTCCGAGGACGGGGCACCACTTGCGAGAGCTCTTGTCGGAGATAGGAGATGGCATAGGGCTAATCCAGTCAGCCACGAGTCTCTCAAGCGATGGTATGCGGCGTCAGTCGCGCTAGGCACGAAGGGTGTTCCCGCTGCGTGTGCTACAGAGGTGACGCCTTGCCGCTTTTGGGCGCGTCAGCTATAACGCGAGCTGATGGACCGTAGTCTACGGCGAGTTGTGTGTGAGTTTTATTTCTTGCTGTTATGTTTCATGCTGATTTTCCTGCCGTTGTTTTGGTGCGCATGTCCCAATGACCGCCAGTCAGCGGGGATTGTTTGTTCCGGGTCTTCGGTAATCCTTTGTGCATCAGTGTCGTGTTGAGCCGGTTCGGAAAGCTGTTTGTGAATATTTTGAATCATGCATTGAAGACGGCTCTCGTTCCCTACATTGCTGGCTCGGGCAATGTGAATTTACCCCGGAGCGGAGGCGGGGCCCTCAATATACATACGCATTGTGCTAAATACGCATTGTGCTAAAGTCATCAACGTTTATTATGAGCGGAGTGAACTAATTTATTCAAGCGAGAAGAGAGTACGCTGTTCTTAATCGAGTCACCTTGGCACTTAAGCAGTTTATTTCTGTGTCAATGACAATATTAACAAATTTCAGTGCGTATTTTTATGCGGAACAATGCTATTACGAAATATATTTAAATATGATGAACCTATGCAGCCCACAGTGCACTGTGTACAATGCAAACATAATTGCACCTCATCGAGTGTGATTCCGTGGTAGTTTAGCGCAGAGTGGTTCAAATGTTTTCGAAAATATATTGTTCCGCAACAATAATCGTCATCCCTATTTATATTCCACCTATCCGTTTTTCCAGCGCCAAGACAGCCACTCTGTGTTCTAACATCATCCCATTTTCGCGGCTCATATATTGTGTGTCGTATCTATCAAGTAGAAAAAACTATGAAAAAATTTACCAAGATGCCCTTTGTGAATTCAGATGTGCGTACTGGCACACATTACCGGAAGTAGTTGTCAAATATTTATTGCAAACGAGATATGGCGTGTTAGACTGAGAATTGCCCATCGATAGTATTAGTGCTGTCAATCCATGGCCAGCTCATGCTTGTCTCCCTGTGCGAGGCATACCGCGGCGTTCCTGATCGGAAAGTGCCTTACGATTGAATGCCTACATTGTTGAGTGGTAGAATGTGATTTCACACGGTGTATAACGTTAATTTCTTTAACATTTATTGCGCACCATTACAAGAGCTTGCGTAAAAGCATAGGCATGCTCACAAACTAATGGTTCAGATGCAAACGCACAATCATGGACACTGAACACACGAAACTCATACCGATCTCTTCAACTGAGAGTGATCCACATATACGCATAAATTGGCACTCGTTGCAAAACGTGAGGCTAACACTCACTCGTATCGGTGCATTCGAGAGGTCCCAGAGTCATCCGGGCTTCGGCGTCGTGGGCCAGCCCTTGGGCTGGAGCATGTATATGCGTACGATGCCCAGGTCCTCGGGACGGTCGTAGATGCCCTCGTCGAGCCTCCAGCGGCCGTCAGCCACGTCGCAGTTGCAGAGGCGCGAAGCGTTGGAGCAGCTTCGCGTTTCGGCGCACTGACACCAGGCCGGTCGGCCGCTGCCGATGCTTGTCACGTAGTGGCGGCCCTGACGACGACTGCAACCACGTGTAGCTCTCCAGTCTGGGTCCCGCATAGAACGATGCGCAGAAGCGCGTGCAGATGAATAAAAAGACAGGTTAACAAAGTGAAAAAAAAATGGGATTTAAATTTAGGTGAGTTGTTGATGAAATAAAGTGAGTGAATGGGTGAAAAGACATGAGGCAATGCCTGTCTAATCTGTCACTGATCTATACAAGAGAGCATTGAGAGCAAGCGTGTGCACTTGTACCTGCACCCTTTTTACCCCTGCTCTTTACTTTGAAATGTGCCTAACACAGTAGGCCGACAGCTAGATGCACTATAGAGGAGGTGCTCGTCGACGAAAAATCTGTCCCCGGCCTAGTTGGCACTGCCGTGGATGAAACCCCCACAGCTCCCCGGCTGAGCCATCCTAACTCAACTTACCTGAGATAAAAGAAGACATGGTGAGAGCATGAGAACCCCCTCTTTTTATCTTTTTTTTCATCCCCATGAGTCACCAATTGAGTATACAATCGACGGCAAGGATGACTTTATCTGGCGACGGCGCAGCTGAAGCTGTTAAAAGAGAGCAAAGAAGATAAAAGTGAGTCCCGAAACTGTGTGCATCATAGTGTGACACTTCAACAGCAGCTCACGGGGGATGGGGGTAAGGCCCACATATGGAAGTAAAGAGAGGATAGAGAAAGATGGGGACACGGTCGCAGGAGTTCGAGGACTGGGAACCACTCAGCGAGAGCTTCATGGCGTCAGGAGATGGCGAGGGCGAGCCAGTCGGCCAGAGCTGTGCTGTCGTCGGAGATCGCAGGGGCACATCCGTTGGCCATGGAATCCAGCGAGCGAGGGTGGATGCGCTCTGCTCTAGGGGAGTCTCGTGTTTCGGTGTGGCAACGCCGACGCAGGCTAGTCCATATTGCCACGCGTGTTTCTTACTTACACTTTTGCTTCAATCAGTTTTCTCCTGCAAAGTTCGTCATGAATGCTTAGCAAAACCGCACTTCATTGGCTCAGCCGCAGTGGCCTAGTGGTGGCTAAGGTACTATGCTGCTGACCCGCAGGTCGCGGGATCGAATCCTGGCTGCGCCGGCTGCTTTTTCGAAGGAGGCGGAAATGTTGTAGGCCCGTGTGCGCAGATTTGGGTGCACGTTAAAAAACCCCAGGTGGTCGAAAGTTTTGGAGCCCTCCACTATGGCGTCTCTCATAATCATATGATGGTTTTTGGGACGTTAAACCTTGCATATCAATCAATCAACCTGCACCTTATTGTTCGAGAAGATTTGCGATCATTATAGATCGTTTTGTCAAGATTGCACGCAATACGCGAAACGCTCGTGATTATTCCAGAGTTCGCGGGATGACCAGTGATAAGACTGGAATATCCGACTGGCATATGTACAATTGCCGATGTGTTTCGCCGCTTGTGAATTCATCGACGGCCGACCCTCTGTTCGCCGCTATCAGTGCCCGTGTGTTGCTGTAATCTGACCTTCAGTTTCCTGGCCACATGTACAGCGGAATAAACAGTTTTACCTGAGCATCGAGCCTGCTCCCTTTGTCCACGTCATGACCCCATGGCAATACTAACTTCGCTTGAGTATATTCCGCTCAAGTGACACGTTTCGACATAAGAGGATGGTCTACAAAAATGAGTGTTTGTAGGTAAAGCGATCTTACAAGGAGTAGCTGGCGATTTGTGGTACTAGGTGTTTAGGACAAATGTGCGACGATCCAGAGTTCGATGCACTCAATTTCTATGGGAGAGCAATAACTTGTACTAAGAATGAATTCTGAACGCTTTATAGCACTATGCACACTCTATGTGAAAGCCATAAGCTGTCCATGCAACCTACTACCTGGTTCCCATTATCAATCTAAGCATTTGTTTCGCTCAACATGAGTATCGTGCAGCACGTTACCTTATCCTAATAAAAAGAACCACAACAGCCATTCTGGTTTGCCTTGAGCCAAAACCATAAAGATACTCATTTAGCTCTAAACATCTGTTATGCCCTCAAGTAGCATAGGGAAGCGTCACATCGGCGGTATAGATATTTTAATTTGCTATCTGTGAAATTAACAAAAAAAAATTTTGGAAAATCCCACGTACCTTGGGAATCATTCTGCGAAGCATGCGGAGGGAGGGTGACCGTGTTGTAATTTTTTTTATTGGGCGACACGTCATTAAATTACGAACTATATGTACAAATTTTGCCCGCACAGGCATATGTTGAAGAATCGCAATTATTTATATAACCATTCATTTTCACTTGCGCAACAATACCAACAAGAACATGAGTATTAGCAACACCAGAAGCGACAAGCTTATATGAAGCGCTGCAGTGCTCGCGACAATGCAACATAAATCAACTTCAGAGCATGGCACCTATCTACAATTGAAGTTAACCCGGCGTGACGGCTGATCATAGGAGTAAATATTTAATGTCTATAAAAGTGGATCGTCAGCACTGCAACCACAATTAAAAAAAATGAGAACAAAACGATTTTTTTATTTAATCACGTCACTCCCCCTGCATTCATCACAGCCCTCTACGGGCACAATATGTGAATAAAGATGTGTCAACAGCAACAACAACCAAAATTGCCGTTTTACCAACATTAAGGTCTATTTAAAAAGTAGTTTCGAGACCTAGAGTGGCTCCGTGGTAAAATACTTGATTCATAACAGTTCATGCTGCCAGCTACTTGAATGGACGTAACCGCCCCGCTGGGCGAAAACAGCCTGGTCAAGGGATGAAGATTCTATCTCTCTCTGTCTCTTCAAGACAAATGTGTTCAAAACAAGTGCCCCTGCGATAAAATTGCGTAACCTCCATCAAAAGTGGGTCATAAAAAGAAGTCCGTAACGCGAACACGACTCGCACTACACTCTGGTCCTTACCCAAGGGGAGCCTTGAAGCACTCGTAGGTGATGTGCTGGTAGCACTGCTTCGATGCGTGGATTAGAGACTGCAGCATCTCAGGCGTGAACTCTCGGTAGGTGATGTCCATGTAGAAACCTTCCAGACCAGTATTTCCTCACGACCTGCAGCCACACGACCCGAAACGAACGTGGGAATGTTCTTGTTCTTTGAATGGCCAACAAAATGGTTTCCATTCAATCAGTCAAGCAATGAAGCAATGCTGCATTGAACAATAGCGGAAAGATAAGGAGTATACTAACCACTTGGGCCACCAGCCCTTTTCGGCTGACATCAGGTCTATTGTAAAAAGAGCATTGTAGGTCAAGCCATAGGTCACTTTAAGATATAGTAACTAAAACAAAAAATCACACATTTGCAAACAAAAGCGCAATAACTTAGTCAGGATGTCAAATAGAAGGCAAAGGCATTTACACTGTAAGATGAAAGTTTCTCGCAACATTTACGTCAATGGGCACATCATCCCAGATTACAGCCACGAAAAATTCCAGCGAGTAACACAATGTTTCGGATTTGGAAGATTTCAAATACGATTAGTTGCTTGCCTAATATGCAGACGCATGAACGCCGATATTGCATTAGGAAAGGGGAATGTAGTGTTGAGTATCAAGCAGGCATGCTTATAGTTTCGAAAAGTTATAAATGAAATAACATTCGAAGCTGCGCTATGAATATGGTTAGCCGGCAATTCGCGTTCATAGCGTGGACTGCCGCTAATTTCTCTATCTATAACTCACTTATATGTGCTTCTCGTGAACCTACCATTTCGCGCTGCATGTTGTGGTTGACTTTGGTCGCGATGGAGCCGTCAGGGCGCTGCATGTCACATTCCACGTGTGCCGGTGGAAGCGGGCCGTTCCGGTCGATGTCGATCTTGTACGTCCCGGACTTGCGATAGCCAACCAGGAACAGTTCCTGGCAAGTACGTTTGTACGTCGCTGCGCGTGGAGTCAAATAATCAGTAACGTTGAAAGCTTCGCGAAGTTGCGAATTCCGCCATGTTGTCAGATTTCGCCACTGATCGATGCTATAAATGGCCAAGTGAGCTGCTACGACCTCCTTGATTTGCTTAAAATGCCACAAAATTACAAAACCATTACAAAATTTCACAATATGGCGGAATTAGACAGTGTCCACAATAGCACCCGTTGGCTGGAATTTAAAAGGCGTCATAACTCAAGCCAAATGTAGCCAAAGTAGTGATGTCTCCTAATATTGTAGCCAAATCAGTAGCTAAATAGAGCAGGGGCATTATTATATAATTAGAGTCTTTACTAAAGATGAATAAATAAAACCATGTTGAATAAGTAAAACCGGGAAGTTAAAAATAGCCAGCAAATATACCATGAAAATTTTCGCCACCAAACGGATGAAAAAAGTAACCACTTTGGCGCAAAGTAGCCACCAACGGCAATTCTGGACAAGGCGATAGTTCATGAAGCTAAATATTGAGAAGAAATATGAGCAACTACACAAAAGAAAATTTATCGCAACAGCTTCGGCGGCATTCTCAGGCAAGCGCATTCGATATATATTGTGCGACCCTCGATACTAACTTAAACACACACCGACAGGAAAAAAGAAAATATGCTGCCAGCAGTTACTTCGATGCATCCGATACAAAATAGAGATCGTGAAAGCGAAACAATCACATCTTCTTAAAGGAGTTCCCTGTGAACAACGCAACCTGAAATGCAAATATGCTGTCGTATATGTGTACGTTCAAAAGTGCGACATGATATCGAGGATCGCTGCAGAGTAGTATTGTGGCCACCTCGCATTTTTTTAATTTGCTGCACATGCATTGTCTTGCTGTTCACCTCCGTCAGAGTGCGGCTGTCTTGGTTGAGAATCGAACTCATCTTCGAGGTAAGCAGCGTGACAGCATAACAAACCTCACCAAAGCACGTACGCTGATGCGCGGGCACCGTTGGCGATTCTACTGAAAAAAAAAAAGTTCAATTTGTCATTGTTTTACCAAGAACATCATCAATGCTGCTTTCGGCATTTATTTCAAGCGTGAGACAAGCAAAGCGTAAACGCTGGCAGCGCAACGGCGTACGATCCGAGCACATGATGTATACGCGCGCCAAAGCAAGATTCGAAGAGTCCATACCGGGACGACATGCAAGCCTCCCACCAGGCAGCACCACTCCTGATGTCGGGGCTAATAGTGATATCTGACTTGCTTCTATGATTTCGCGGGTAAGATTATCTCGTCATTTCCGGGCGACACAACATAGCTCGAAAAGCATGCATTTCATATCCGCGTGAATCGAAGTACATTGCAAATAAAGCACGCTAACAATATAAAGATTGATTGATATGTAGGGTTTAACGACCCAAAACCACCATATGATTATAAGAGACGCCGTAGTTGAGGGCTCCGGAAATTTCAACCACCTGGGGTTCTTTAACGTGCATCCAAATCTGAGCACACGGGCCTACAACATTTCCGTCTTCATCGGAAATGCAGCCGCCACACCCAGGATTCCAACCCGCGACTGGCGGAACAATGTAAAGAGAATAGCACTTAATTTGTTTGTTTGCAATGTACTTCGGTTCAAGCGACTGCGAGTTAGCTTATCCGTGTATAGTTCGTAGAAAGCATGATGTCATTACTGGCTTCGGCTTGCATGAGTGCTTAATTATTTCTCCCCTCCTTCGAAACATGCATTAGATATTTCACACAGAGAGTATCAATGGACCCAAGTAGGTTGCGTACGTGGATGCGGCAAACGGCAAATCACGCGCCGGTCACCTTGGTAGTCGACAGCCAAGATGCCCCCGTATTGACCGCCACTATTAGAAACAGCAACACGGAAACGGCTGGAGAACTTGCGATAGCGCTCGTTTGCGTTGAAACGGAAGCTCACTTTAAAATCAGTGGTAGCAAAACGGCAATTCGGAATTTCGGTAAAGATACAATCTCGCCCGACACGGCAAGTGTTCCGTACGGTACACGGCCAAACAGAAAAATTAGCCTGTAGTTTGGAACCCAGTGCACACATCTGTTCGTAGCAACGAGGCGGCCCAAGAGTTAGCTTGAGCTCTTTTCTTTCGGGTGACTGTAAAGCAACCTATACTGCCAGAACATGGACGAGCGTCCAAAAAATTACTCTAAGATCGCTGAAAATTATCGGCTACTTCGGAGAGGTGTGCCCCCTTCGGATGAGAGCCTGCACTATTAATAGTGAGGTAGTCGCATGGCGGCGTTTGCAAGCTGGCAATTTCGTAAACCCTGTCTGGGCATATCAGGCTCAAAAAGATGACAAAGAAAACGATAGATGCAAGCACTGTGGGGCGAGAGCGACCCTTGACCACATAATATGACCGTGTGATAACTCCCTAGGTGCTAAATCAAATATAAATTGTAGAGAGGTCTGGGAAAGCTCTGCTGTGAAGCGAGACCCCTGTTTCACAACAACAAGCCATCCACCTGACAGAAGCCGCGAGAAGCGAGAACCTCTTCACCTGCTCCTAATCGCAGAGGTGCCGGCCGCCATGAGCTATGGGGAGTAGGGGCATGATAATATGTGGTAGCGCAGACATGTAGCAGACAAGGGGTAGGGGGCCTCCTTATCTGGCGGAACAATAAAGTGTTCATCCGTCAATCCACTCAGCCGTGCTTTTCACCCTTTTCTGAGCCCGTCGCGTGCCAGCTCATTCAACGATAAAGGTGGTCATTACTGTTCAGTTTACAAAGCAAATCTTTCAAGTTACCTATAAGGTGAAATGATTCATAACTAGTCAAAGTTATTTAGGCTCTACCAAGTTTTGATGATAGGCCTAGGATGGGCAAACTCCCGTCTGAACGGGAGATTAATTGGGAAAATCGTGATGCTGACGTTTGTTGTTTTCAATGGCTACTCCAACGAATCGGTGCTATAAAAATATGCTCTTCGTGGATTTAATTTCAATACTACTAGAGTAGCCTTCGGGATTAAAACATGTATGCTGAAATATTGTAAATGAAACTTCGGATGTATTCAATTAATTAACTGCAATGCGGTTTAGCATGAATGTTATGACGGCCTTTGCAGGAAAATTATAGCGTGATTTCATCGAGTGTCGTTTTATCCGAAAGGACACTTCACATCTATTGTCTCTCAAGAACAGTACTCTAACATATTCGGAAAATTACTCAAAATAATGCGGCAGCACACACAATGATTTTGGACATGCTGCCCTCTCCCTTTACTCAGGTACTATGCACAAATTTCTTCTCAGCTGTCACCGGAGATTATGTAGTCGTAAACGATGATTTGTGTGAAATGTTAGTCCGATGTATCGTTCCACCATAAAGGTCAACGTTGACTTCAGGTACGAGTATCGCAGATATCAACGTTTGCAAAAGAAGCGCTGTGGTGCAAATGAATTTTTACGATGACGCAGTCAGTTATAACGTGGCCCACATAATAATTAAACATCAGTCGCCTCGCTGAGGTGACAACTGGTCTTACACATTATGTCTACCGACAGGTTCGTGCTCAAGAGTAATAGAGTGAAAGGAAATCCTATTCACGATATGGCTATCTCAAGTGGTACTTACGAGCGTACAACAGTGATGCTGCACGATGACATAGTCTGACAGCAATAAAAGCTTTCGCATTTGACCTCAAACACACCTAACCTCAGTAATTTCGGTGGAACGGGACACCGAAAATATTGCAAGAAAAACATGACACTAAAGAACTTTGGGACTGAGCAAGCATACGCGAAAAAAAAAAAGGACACAATAGCTGCACGGTATTCTAAGGTGAGCGCTTTCGAGATATTTTGCGAGACTTTACACTACACGTGTGCGCGGTGCTTGGCACACAGACAAAAGTGCTGTCCGTAGATAGGCGGATGAGTTCGATACAAATAACCACAGCGCAGACCAAACCTACACAACTCTTAAAATCACCCGTGAACAACTTAACCTGAATGATTCAAGCATGCTGTCTTGCGAGTTCAAGTCACAACATGATATGCGGCAATCATTTTACTGTATTCAAGAAAGGTGTCCTTGTTTTCCACCTCCATTGGCTTCCGAGGCCGGGAATGAAAGCCATCCTTAGCAGCGTCATACAAACCTGATTTCAATTTTCGTACGACCGAGCGCGGGTTCCGTTGCCGACAGTGAAATGAAACTTTTTTGTAGTCTTACAAGGAACGTTATTGATGGTGTTTTTAATATAGATCTGTAGGTTGAGAGAAGCGAAAAGCGAATGCAAACAACGAAACCGCAAACTAACAAGTGAGCCCATGTACCACACAGTAGGAGACGTCGAAGAGTCCTTGCCGTGACATCACCCAGGTTTCCCCCCAGGCGGCGCTACTCGGAGCTAATACAGTTATATATTCTACTAAGAAGGCGACAGCTTATGTAAAAAACATTACATTCTACACCCGTTTACCTAGCTTCACCTAGTAGCTGTTGCGCACCCCTGGTTAAGGTGTTAAAGAAGTTTCCTCTGTGTTCAAGATGTTTTTACATCGTCTCTTTCTGTAGCCGTGTTATTTTAGGGGTACATTTGCTAATTATAATAGCATCTAGAATACGTTCCAATACCACCAACTAATTATGATGAACGCTGTAATGGAGAGATTCGAAAATGTTGACCACTTGGTGTTCTTCAACATGCACTGACATCTAGTAGACGGGCCTTTAGCATTTTGATATGACAGAAATACGACCGCTGCAGCCGGGATCGAACCCACAACCTCTCAGTTAGTAGCCCACTACCATAACTGCTACACTACTCTAGCGAACCTGTTTGCTAATCATGAATCTTTGGCAATTGTGAGTCACCACTTGCCCATCAGCGAAGTATCGGCCAGTTAAAAGCTAGAAAGTGACCTGCTTTCGAGTTTGGCCTATCATCCACACTTCTTGCACGTCCTCTTCACTCTACATGCCCAATTTGCGGCCCTTCCACGACAGTCGTAAAGGGACCCTATACACCGCCTATGAGTGAACAAGACCTCGACTCACAGAAGTGGCACGTCTTCCCTGTGTATCCGGTGCCGTTGCAGTTGCACTTGAAGCGGGAGCCGTCCAGGTAGCACTGTCCACCGTGCTCGCAAGCATTCGGGTTGTTGCACGGGTTGATGAGCTGACAGTTATCCAGCGAGACCTCGCCGTGCGCGTACTCCGTGCCGACCACCTTGCGAGGGTCCACCCACTCCTTCTCCACGTAGATGTCCCGTATGCAGCCCACGAAGCCTGCAGCATGTGGTACGATGGAGATGCCACGTGCATACACTCTTAAGATAGTTTGTTTATCTGTAACCTATATGTGACTTTAACCTAAAGGACCCAATCGATTACATCATGACAAAATGAAGTTTAGGTCTACCTTTAAAAGCTCCCAAGAAATCTCTGAAAATACAAAGAATGAGCACGTTATTCTTTTCTGACAATTCCAATCTTCTCGGCTTAGCTCGAGACGTCGGTAGTCTGTTCACATAACGTCATGAGAAAATAAGCTCTCTAATAGTGCGAGTAATGATTGATATCTGTAGTGAATCATCGCTCATCATGCTGCAGCTCACCTGTTTACTATGTCTGGCATGACTATTACGCGCGATCAACTGATTTCAGTTCGTTTTGTGCATTTTTTTTTTGCTGTGCCAGTGGAGATTACAGCGCGCAACGGAAAAGCGCGAAATGTTTATAGGCTCAACGCTTACTGCCGACGTTGACTGCAAGTTTATAAAAAAATAAGTGGCAGAAGGGTAGTGAAAGCGAGAATGAGACCAGTTTCTTGTCTTAGAACACGGAGTAGTATAATGGCCTTTTAAGGCTTAACACCGACTGTACTTGCCTAAACATCTTACACGAGAGCGTTGAAGCTGTAGATGTGAAAGCATGAACAGCAAGGCAGTTTATTACATGATGTTTCTTTGTAGTGAACGGCCATAAACGCAGAACTTACGTGTCACGATTATCACCAAGAAAATGCAACGATAATGTGTGCTCACTTGAAAAACAATCTTTCCTACGAAGTGTACGTGTTTCGCCCTGAGACAAACAAGCTTAAGTCTCTATGCTGTGCTCGAAAGTGCTTATGTACACCGTGGCGTTTTACTTTCAGAGGATTAACAGTGCAAAACAAAGCAAACATGAGACTGAGTGACTGATCAACCAGTTTAGCGATTGATTTTCAACTCCTGCAAGATAGGTACAGCCCGAAAAATCTGAGGTTGAAGAAATACATTTCTTTGAACTGCCCGGTTTCTTTTACACACCCGCAATTAGCTTGACACAAGAGTGCGCATTTCGATTAAATTTATAGCACTCCTACCGCAGCGACAAGTCACTCATCTAATCTGTGATGTCGTTCATAACCAGGCAGCCATAGATGTTAAAAAAAATGGCAGAATATCCACGGAGTGAATGATGGAGAGTGGGGCGAAGCATCCACCCGTCCATTCGTTCTTGCTTCCGTCCGTCCATGCGTGCGTCTGTGTGGCCGCCCGTGCGTCCATCCGCCCGTCCATGCGTGCGTCTGTTCGTGCATCCGCACGTTCATCTGTGTGTTCGTCCCTGATTTCGTCCATGCATCCACTCCTGCGTCCGTCTATGCGTCCATCCGTCCATGCAGCCATCCGTGCGTCCATCTATGCATCTGTCTGTGTGTCTGTTCGTCCACCTATTCAACACTCCAAGTACTACAATCTCGCATCTTTTTATCATATATTCCTCATATAGAACCACCGTCATCCAGCGGACATTCCAAGGACAGAACGAGAGGAGGCACATGCACACTTTCTTACGGCTTGCGCTTCGTGTCTACTTCCCACCTTTAACCACCTCGAGTTCATGGTATATACTAGTTCACTGCATTCATGGCACTACAGCTCAACGCTCGCTAAACCTTTCTACAAGGAGGTTAAACCCAGCGAGTATAACGTAACAGCCCTTTCTTGTCAGATAGTGCTCAATGTACATGCCAATGGCTGCTAAGGGGTAATGAGGTACAGGAGAATTCGGCTTTTAGTTAATGCGCAACACTTCAAGTTTTTTTTATTGTTCAACAACGCACAGAAAAAGTCTCCCACCGGCACCACCTTTGAGGTCAAAATCTAACACTGGTTACACACTACGACTACTATTACTACTATGAGCGATGAACGGATGCCGCTTTAAGGAGCTTCGCCCCTAAAAATACAGCTGCTCAAAAGAAGAAAAAAATCACAGCCTATTCACGGAGTGAATGATGATGAGTGGGGCTAAGCGTCCTTGCGTCCGTGTTTCCAACCATCCATGGATTCATCTATTCACCCATGCTGCCGTCCGTCCATCCATGATTCTGTCTGTCCATGCGTCCATTAGTCTCTGCTTCCGTCCGTCAGTCCATCTGTCTGTCCGTTCATGCTTCCGTCCGTCCGTCTGTCTGACCATCAGTTCATGTTTCTATCTGTCCATCCATCCTTGCGTTCATCCGTCTGTGCGACTGTGCTTCTGTCAGTCCATCCGTGCCTCTGCCCAACCATCCACCCACCCGGACGCATGGATGGATGGATGCACGGACGAATGGACGAACGCTTCGCCCAACACATGATCATTCAATACATGGATATGATGTGAAAACCATTAACGCCATCTTGTTATATTATTCCCAAGGACATATACACACAACGTCATCTATATGAGCAAGTCATAATCAAAGGTGGCTACATACTACCATGGCCGGACTATAAACGCGTGTTCTGTCTTACGGCCTTCTCAATCGAGTTCAGAGCAATGGTTGCGTTACTTCGTAGTTAGAGTCACTGCTCAACACGAGGGGCGCAGCGACTCTGCCATGAATAAAAACAAGTTTCCTTATTGCTTGGCGTCTGAAAATCTTTGTTTTTTTTTCTTCGTTGAGCGTCTAATTTTGCATGGCCTGCAGTCACGAACACAACGGACAGCAATGGCTAAGGTCAATAGATTAAACAAGTTTTTTCATCTAGGAACCTTTGCAATGGCAGGGTCGCAGCGACAACACGGCGCTGCGGCGGGAGATGGAAACAGACGCACTGCGAAGGCCGTAAGACAGAACGCTCACGTGCCTTTCTAGTCCGGCCGTGATACTACATACAGAGAACGGAACAACCCAGTGCCTAAGGAGCTTTGCCCCTAAAAATTGAGTACTTATGCCAACAAGTCTAAAATCTCTAATATAAATAGAAGACATGCAGGCAGTACGTTTTCAGCGGAAGTACACTCTCAAAATGCCACCTAATAATGACCACACGCATTCAGGGGTGCAGCCTGGTGTTAGCTTTGGGTAATTCCGGCCCCTTTTAGTAGCTTTTAGGAGCTTGCTTCTATATGCTTGAGCCTTGTCCATCCATCCCACCGTAGTGGCCACGCTCCCTCTGAAGCAAATGACAGGATCAGAATGGAACGCGATGCGCACGTCTCTTTTCTGGCATGAGTGGGCACGATGGGCAAAGCGACGCTACGCTAGCAAAACCAGCAAAACGTGAGGTCCTACGCAAGACGCAAGTCGAAACCCTCCTTGGACGAAACCAATGCGACCGGCATTCGTTGCCGCGCTAGAATTTGGCCCCTTTCCCGAAGAACGGGGCGCTTTCGACTTCCGGTCAAATCCGCCAATTTTCGCGGAGTAGGGGAGGGAAGCGCTGCAACAAAGCTTCGTTATTACAATAATAATTATAGTAATATTATTATTATTATAAGAACAACAAGAAATATTGATATTGATAATAACAAAGAATAATAATAATAATGATAATAATAATAATAATGTTTAGGGTTTAACGTCCTGAAACCTTCGCTGCCCCTGATAGGGCACATCTTCATATAATGGTTGAGTGGATGTACGGAGGATTCACGGTTTTACCTGATTTAACCTCCTGGGCAAGCTCCCTCATCGTTGTCTTCCCTCGTATGGCGCCTTTTTTTTCGCATGCGGCTGTTTGTATGTGTGCCTATATGTACAGATACTTATAAAATGCGGAGGGAGGGGGGGGGGTTCAACCCTAATGCAGCACTCTGCTCATGCCATTGCTACAGTTGTTGGCCACACTTCCTCTCAAATGCTATACCTAGCATCATCAAAATAATTATTTTGACTAGACGACACCCGCAAAACTACTGCATATGTTCTATATTTTTTTCACATCTGAGCCAACGTATGGTTACTGTGCCACTTATAGATTTACTGAAATTTTGAGAAGAACAACTATCGATTTTATCACGTTCAGATATGTACGCCGACCTCGGGCTCATAGGAAAAACGTAGCATTCGATGGGAAGTGCTTTGCAGCTATCATACGCGTGCTGGGGCAAAATAAGTGCTCGGGAACGTTAGGGTCTCGTCTCACATGAGGTCGCTCAGACGAAATGATAACTACGGCATTCCTTAGCTGCTTACCCATGACGTGTTGCTTGGGGAATCCTCCAATCACGAGCGGCCCTACGAGCTCCACGGGACGGGGGTAGGTGTCCTTCAGCTTGCGGTTGAAGTCGATCGTCAACTCCACATTTCTAAAATATCAAGCGGCAGACGTAAGAAGGACATTCAGTCGTCTCACGAAATCACCCACACTTGTTGAAAAATGCATTCTCGTATACAAGTGCGGAGAACGTCTTCAAACAATAACGCATTTACTAAGGCACAGTTTCACACTACTAAGACCTCGACAACAACATGTACAGAATGACAATCACTGCTTCATCACAAGCACGAAACAATGAATTTTGTAGTAACCGAATGGAACTCTATACCAATTAAGGCTAGAAGCTGGCTCCTTCAGTAACCGATCCCATGAAATTCCACAAAACACTGGCATTATGAAACACGGCCACCGTCTGTCGCTGCAACGAAATGTAAGTGGTGGGAGCAGACACGTACAAAAAAATTTGACGCATTCTGCTAATGTCTGTCACAATAGGATGTGCAACCGCACCCCTTTCGCAGTTAGTTGCTGCTCAGCGACACAGCCCCACCCGGCACCGTTTCATGCTCGTTCGCCCAACGGAGCCATCCGGTGCGCTTTATATGTGCTTGAGCCTCGCCCGCATGCAACGTTCGCAAGCTTTCAATTGCACATAGAACATATGACGCACGAGGTGATTTTATCAATTTGTACTGCATACGGAGCATAAGGACGACCGCAAAAGTATGTCTTGAGTGTCCATGAACTAATATATGAGGTTTTACTTCCCGTGTGCTTCATGCGTCATAACGTGTGCGTCATGCGATGCGCCATCCGTTGCGAAAATGTTTCTTCCATCTGCTCGTGTGAATCCAGATTAACCGACAAATGCTGTGCCGAAAGTGTTTGACGCCTGCGTGTAACAGCCAAAGGATGATAGCATTTTTTCACTAATGTGACAGCACGTTTTCAAGTTTTTCTGAAGAGTAAGAAAATATCTATGTAGTTTTTAGATAAAAAGAACATTCGTAAGGTTCAAGGAGATCTCTTGTAATTTTTATGTTGCCAAAAAAGACATTTGTTTGATAATACTTTGTCAAATAGGCGAAGGCAACTGTAAAAATCAGCGGGCTACTTTCTAAAACTCTTTTTTCCCACCAATGCTATTAAGGCGCACTGGTGAACAAAACCGGATGTCATCAAGGGCCTGTGTTTGTAAACAGTGAAAGAGTTTATAGTGCTGTAAAGCAGATAATTTAGCCAAGAATGATCCCATGGTAGAGTACGTACTCTGAATCTAACATATTTTCCAAACAAGCGGGCACAAGGAAGTGGCCGGTTCATGTTTCATTTCCGTTGTGTGATAGGGACAGCTGATTACAGCTATTCCCCAGCGCAGTAGTGCGAATCGTCTACTATACGTTGTAAACACTACATTAGAACAGCTGAATGTTCTTCCTTAGAGAGTACGTCATACTGTCAATTGTCAACCATTTAAGTGAGCATAACCTTCAGGTGGCACCCAAAACACAGCTGAATTTAACGTCACATTTCAGGAACGGCTTATACGCTCCCATGTTATACAGTACGCAATACTCGGTCTCTCTTTTTGAGCACAGCTCTTACGCACTCGTTGCTGCGCCGCGTCACCATTGTCGGCGTAATAAATAGGGCAGGCTGCTCCGAAGAGTCTGGCGCCGTGCATAGCCAGCAAGCTGCTGCGTTACCATCAGACTACTTGAATAAATGCCAACAGCACTGTAAGAGGCTTTGAAATGTTCAAGTAACTCTGGGCTAAGCCGCCGCTGTGCATGAAAACAAATTTAAAAAAAAAACACGCAAGTACGCGGTGCTCGTGCCATGGAGTGAAAAGTATGAACGTGAGATAGACGGTTTCATTTTGATGTGAACATTTTTGTGTGACATAGGTTGTATGCATGCCACCCGAACGTGCGGGACCATTCACGTGCAATGGCAGCCGTTGGCTGTTTCCTGTACATATGTACAGATGGCGCTACAACAAGTTCTTCCTTTTTGGAACTCGTCTGTGCCTAGCGCCGATTAACCACGAGTTCGAGCAGAGTCACCGCTTGGCGGCAACTGGCCGAAACAATGAAGTGTAGCTTGCTCCTTGCGTCGTCTGCTAGCTACATCGTGTTTCTATGTGCGCGTACGTCATGCAAGTTCTTAAAGTGTGGTTTGTATGGTCATGTCAGCACGAGTGCAGCTGTTTCTACATATACCTGCAACGACGTACGAAAGAATTTGGTCTTGCTCGGCTGCTGACGCATTGTATTAAGATCGGTGAGTTCAACTTTTCAGAGTGCTGTTTATTGTCGTTGTACCCTTCATTCAAATGAATAATTTCAGAGTTGGTTCCGCTTTCTGTTTCAAGTACACCACAAAATGCTCTTGACATCCTATCAAACATGAGAACTGTTAAATTTTGTGTGAACGCAGTGTTTTATAGCAACTTCATACTAAAAAAATTTTAAAACACAGGCTCTAGACCATGCACTTGTGTGCTGTTGGTAGGTGTAGAACTATGGCACTGTAGTTCATCGGTCACGAGGAGCTTTAGTTGTGTTTATCTGGCCGTGGTACCACTACATAGAAATATTACTATCACACAAACTGCCAGACTTCGATGCTTACACTTTACTTAAAACAGAGTTACCGTGCACAACCATGTGCTTAGATTTAAAAACGCTTTAAAAACCCAGAGGTTGAAAATTGATTGAGACAACATGCCTTTTATATATTATCGTATAATTTCACAGAAAACTTCATCTTTCTTACATTGTTTTCAGCGTTTGTGTGCCATTGTTAATTACTGACGAATGGCAGTGGTAATTTTTTGTGTAAAAATCATGCTCGTCTTATTAACCAGGCCTTTGATGTAGCACCGTCACGCACGTAATCCATCGATGAGAGCTTCCGGCCGAACTCTCAGACCAGATTTTTACTGTTGCAAGAACATGTGTGTACACATGGTAAACGCAGTGTAGCGCAAAGCGCCATCAGCCACTGAGCTTTGCTGACTAGGATTATCGGCTGTCCCACATTTAATGTTGAACAGAATGAGAAAAAAAATCACATGACATATAAGGTGTGAACGGTGGCACTGAACGAATCACACAGATATGCGGACTTTCTATTATCTTTCTCCTTTTTTGTAGTATGCAGATGACCAAGAAATAAATGAGTAGTTCAGTCACGCTACAGCAGTGTGTAGCAGGCGGAACACTAGCTAACCACGTACAAATAACACATGAAAGGCGTGATTTAGTGCGAAAGCGTGAAGATCATCCAGGGCGAGCATCTCTATGAAAGACAGAGTGCGCCTTACTCGCGGGCAATGTCAACGTTGCATGGGCGTAGTGCACCGATTCAGAGAGAAGAGCGTGGATAATAACTGTAAAGTATAGTCAACGCACTTTATCCACAGACAATCGGATAAGACCTCATTGCGGTGTAAGAATAAGCTATTCTTACACCGTGAATCGCACGCAAACGAAGCGCCGCTGCTTGTATTTGTACACTCCAAGAGGTGAAGGAGGAAAAGGTGTATCGAGGTTGCTCCTTTAGCGGAGTAACTGACCTGCCACACATTACACCATTTTAGGAGTAACTGCGAAGGAGTAACCGCGCTCTCGCGGTTACTTCTCAAAAGAGCAACAGTTATTCTGTGCAATCGAAAACAAAACGTTTTGGTTGACTTAAAGAGGCCCTGAAACACTTTTTTGAATAGGCATGAAATTAATTCACTGGAAAAGCGTATTGCCTCAAAAAATCAATGCCGCAAAATTTTTAAGAATATGTCCAGTACGAGTGTAGTTACAAAGAATTGTCACACGCTGCAATCACATTCTCTCTTCTCTCGTCCCGACGAAAGCACTGGAAGCTAAGCAGGGAGAGATGGGAGGGGCAAATAAAAAATGTCACGCACCTCCTGACCTTGTTTTCCTTTTTTTTTTCGAATGCGCAGGTTTTTCAATGCGATCGCGCGCGCACATGTGGACAAGCAGCGGCCTTCCACGGTGGTCTGTGTAACGACCGAGTGCACCATGCTCAAATCAGCCAATGGCTAATAGATGAGCTTACTACGAGTGATTTGGGGGCTTATTCCATGATTTGTCGAGAGAAGAGAGAAAAATTTTTAGCTAACTTTGATAATTCATTGTGAATTCTATGCCGCATACTGCGCTATAATATTTGGCTCGCATTTTGTCGGGAGCCTCTACTACCGATCGGCAGCGTTTTCTGACCATGCTCAAAAAGTGTTGCAGGGCCCCTTTAAACGAGCCTTTCGAAGTGCGTTCGGGTATTTCATTAGATGTACGATTGATGCGCAAGAATCACATTCAGAAATAAATTTCAGAAAATTTGTAGCAAATACGCGACATTCACACTCGCGACCACTCAGTTAGCATGCGCGTACACTAACCAGTACCACACAATGCTACGGCACCGTCATAAAGTAAACAGGCTTGTGTAGACACAGATGGGTGGTTTGCACACGGCACGAACATCCCTTCAGTTACTCCAAAAAAGCGGCGATTTACTCCACAAGAAGAAAACTGCTCCTCTTTGCCGCGCTGCGTGCATTAATTTGCGCACATTTTATCTTCTGAAGGAACAAATAGCCCTTTTTGGGGTAACTGCGCAGTTGCTGCAGAAAACGTTTTGAAGTGTATATGCGCTGCCGACCGCCTATCCATACTTGCGCGGGTCGGTGCTGCCACCTATATCTTGTGACAGCGAAACGCACGCTTCTCGATCACGGACACGAGAAAGTGGGTTGACCTGAGAGGCTCAGGAGGAGAACACGCTCGTTGGCCGATGGGACACTGTATGTGAAACACATAGCAGACACCCGAAGGCCCTTCACACTCCAGCGCTGCGTTGGCATCAGCCAGCGGCGGCAGAAGTAGGCGACGCCAGGTTCACCACGATACGCTGAAAACCAGCTGCTGCTCGTCGCAGCAGGAGCCAGGCAGCGAGAGACACAAATGAATTGCCGTGAAGAGTGGGCCACTTCTGTTTGGCGCAGGTGCCAAAAAGCTCCTTAATGAAGCTTTTCACACATTGACGCGAAACCCGACAACTCTGTGCTCCCACCTACACCGCGTCGTGTCGCTTTGACGCATGCGTATTTGCTGAAGATGCGCTCTGATTGTGTAGTAGGCAGCATCACAGTAATAATAACCGTGCTTTTACTTGCCAAACCCGCGATGTATGAATATGATGGATGCTGTAGCGGAGGGCTCCGGAAATTAGGTCAATCTGGTGTTCTTTAACATACACTCACATCGCATAGTATACGCGAGCCTTTAGCATTTCGATGGAATGAAAATGCGATCGTCGCGATCGAACCTGTGACCTTTCGGTGAGCAGCCGAGCACCCTAACTGCCACACCACCGCAGCTGACAGACAGACTCGTAATCGTCGGTGAATTTTTTAGTGGCACGAGCGCCAAGTTAAAGCTTGGTTTATGTTCTAATTAGCTACTTCTGAATATTCAGAATATTTCTTCTAAAAAAAATTGATATCGGATTGCTTGTTTTGGCGTAGGTTATAGGAGTTATATTGGATATATACGATAAGGCAGCATAACGTGATCTCAGAGCTCAATAACTGGCCAGGTAATAAATTCAATTTAATTTATTGCGTTAATTGAAAGTACCCACGCTTTTCTTGCAAAAAGCTCGAAGACCCCAAAACTTTACTATAGCTGAGTTCGTTGAAGCATAGAGTTTGCTATAAATACACTAGAGGGAACTATTCCACTAGTGCCTATGGGAGTTGCAACACACGGTACTTCAACGAGCATGGGAATGATGGGTAGTAGACAGATCTATCTCATTTTCGTACTTCTGGCTCCGTTTGGGTTCGCGTCACTTGAAGCTGTTTTTTCACGAAGCGAAAATCATCAAATGTTCAGCAGTTGCCCATCATCATCTTAATCATTTAGGCTTATCATTTCAAACCAGGTCACGAAGTTCAAAAAAGGTCGTTCTTTCCTTCAAAAGAAACACTGCAATAAACGAAGCCACAAGGGCGATTCAAGGCCCGCAAGTACGACGACTAGGCAAATACGTGTACTACCCGTAAATCCCCTGCTCATTGAACGATCACCACGCCAGAGTTATCTCTAGTTAATTTTAGGAAACTCTATGTGCTGAGGCACCTGGCGGTTCAGAATTCAACTACGCACTTCTTTCTACGTAGCCTCGGAGATCAGACTCGGGGGTACGATAAAATGCGAATTTATGTGAGAGATACACCACGGCACACGAACACCAATAAGCGAGTGCTATACTTGCAGACACCCCATGACATTCAACTGGTGGCGCCTCCGCTTTCTTTTTAAATATAATCCACACATATGCGAAAATAGCGTTTTTTTTTCGCTTGCATATAAATGCTCAATATATAACTACGGACGGCTACATAACGCAATTTTTTATTACTCTACATTACGGGCCGGCAGCCTATGACAAAAGCGAAGCAATAAATGTCACGTTACCTCACGAAATGAGTTTATGCGGCGTCCACGTGAGCTCATTTCTCTCAAATGGGGACTGGAGTTGTGTGCCTCGATGCGTGCGCCCCACTTAGGGTGCTGCCATTTTATTACGATAGCGATTATATGGATAGTCTCGGCTGGTTTTTTGCCTTCACAGTCCTTCACGTATATGTATATGTATGTATATATATATACGGGTGAAGGATTCCAACAAGGAGAACGAGCGAACAAAGAGAAGGTGTGCGCTTACGGTTGCCACGCTATCGCGGCAACAATCAGCGCACACCTTGTTCCCCTACAGCAGGAGGGAGCTTCTACGGACTGGGCTCTCAGTACGAAAAAACTGTGACAAAGGTGTACCTGGAGCGGTCCTGTGCTCTTACACCAGCGTTTTGTAGAGTTACGTGAGATCGGATATAAATGAGTCGTCTGCCAGCCTCACTTCATATATCTACGCCGTCAATACGCACAAGCCTTCTTGTGGTCATCAGACCACGTCGCAGGAAACTTGGTTACTTAGCAAGTGCATGTTTACTACAATTGATGTTGCTCCTGAAATGCTAGCCTTGCTTCGTAAAACATTCGAATATGTTGCTATCACATTCATTGCTTCGTCCTTTTGGCGAAACTGCGACTTTTTTTTTTGTTAAGGTCTTGATACTACCACGCCTTTAGTTTTGTGCCCATCGTCCCGGGCCTCTCATCACAACAGTCAGGTTTGACGCCGTAGGCTCAAATATGGCAGGCGCCATAGTGGACGCTCCCCACATCCTAACCTTGTAGCGATCACAGCGCGTATCAAAGCGCCCTTGACTAGAGGCACATGACGTGCTCGTAGACTTTGCAAAGTTAACATGAAGAAAGAGATAGGAGAGAAGCGTTTGTGTGCTCTCATCGCGCGCCCGGTAGCCTGCATTTCACTCTCATTCTCCTGGCCTACTCAAAAGTCAATCTATGATAGCCGACACAGAGATGCAGTATTTTCACCGGGGATATCTCGTTCTACAGTGGCTCCCATCTCGCTGTGTTGGCCTAAGCGAGAAGTTCTTATCACGATACGTCGGGCCCTACCCAGTCATGCGCAAGGTGACACTTGACATCTATGTCACCTACAAGATTTCCCCGACAACCAGTTCGACTGCTAGACCCAGAACTGACATCGTGCATGTTTACTGCCTGAAAGCCTACAATGCTGACAGTCCATTTTAAAAATAGCAGGCACCGAAACAGTGCTTTACCGGCACGGGTAATGTCGTGGGTATGGAAATGCCACTGAGGCACGGCAGCACTTTACTGGCGCCAAATGGATGAGGAAGACGACGTTGTTATAGTGGGGTTGAGTCTGAGTTGCCCTGTTGACCTGCGAACCTGTGCGTTCTGTGCAGTGGTATCTCGATCAGATCAGCGCTGACTGACGACCGCTGAACAAGTACTCCGCGTGGCATTATAATGAACCCAATAAAATGGCCACGTAAGATGACTGTTAGGTCTTTTCGTTCATCTTAGGTGCAACAGTGGATCTTGTATTCGTGTGAACTCTACGTCTTCACGATATTCTTGGTCGCCATTTTAAAAGTAGGTTGGCTCAATCTGTACGAGTCGTTGCCACGTTTTAGTCAAATCGGCGTGGGTTCAACCACGGTGGGCATCGAACCCGCGACTTCATTGCAGCAGGGCATCGTAATACCCAAGCCGCTGCACTCCCGCAGTATCAAGTATTGCTGCCTCTTATTTTAGTTGTCGCTTTTTGTCCTACGTTCATCGATCGTGCGTCCCTCAAAAAAGCGTGTCCTTTATCTATGTATGAAAGTATTGGAGTAAGCCGAGAGAAATTGATTGAGGTCACCGGACAGCCCATACACTCGGTTCTGTACTGCACGTGTGTTCATTCTGCAAAAGTACGATGAAGTACAAAAAGCCACGGCACAAATTTAGAAAAGCTCGCATGCACGGCGAGGCAGCACAGAAGAAGTTGTCAAGGACTATAATATAAATATTCGTGGCGCGACTACTAGCTGTAGAGTATTTTAGATTCATGACGATACGGAGAATGATTAAACGTTCAGTATGACCGCGTACCATCAAGTCTCCAGCAAGTGTTCGAAATTTTTCTGGGAGGTGGTGGTGTGAAAAGGGTATCAGCTCGTCTCTCATAATCATATGGTGGTTTTGGGACGTTAAATCCCATATATCATCATCAAGAGTATAAGCTCGAGTCATGACTCCCCCATCAAGTCTCCAGCAAGTGTTCAAAATTTTTCTGGGGGGTAATGGGGTGAGAATAAGGTTAAGGGGTGGTGGTATGAAAAGGGTGCAAGCTCGAGTCATGACTCCAGTTTTTGATGACGCTGAATATCAATCATTTCGCGAGCAGAATTGTTTGGCTCCTTATGTATCAGTGAGGTACACATTCTGTCAGACGTTTCCTCACTTCCCGTTTTAAAAGTGCGGGTCGATGGCTGTTGCATTTGTACGAAAATACCACATTTTGAACGAGTGACAGAGATGTTACAAGAGCGCCCCAATAAATAGCCATAAATGGAGTTCGGCTGTGCAAGTATGTACCATGCGCATTCTACCACTGCCCTTTTTATTTCGCTTTACATTTTGAATGTACATCAAGCATTATAACATAACTGAAGACCGCTCATTAAGCGAGCAACTTCGGTTTAGATAGTGTACTGCTTTGCAATAATTTCTGACAAGACTACAAGCACATACCGAGTAAGGCGGAGGCTATAGTCTTTGCAAATATTGCAACAAAGTGTCCCGCTGGACTAACACATCAGCGCAGGACGTGGGCTCCAGACGCTGGTGTGTTGTGCACGGGGCTTAAGGCTTCCCCTTTACTGGGACCGATGACAAGTTTAGAATGCACACCTCAAACGAGAGTTTACAGGCACACGTTTACAACACTTGTGCTTAAGCATCCCAGTGAGGCTACTCGACAAGCGGCGAGAGGAAGACCCTCCTATCTGTACAGAGCTTATAAGTTTAGTGAAGGAAAAGAAGGGGTTCTTACTCGTTCTCGAAAATGACGCCGACCTGATGCCAGTGGCCGTCAGTGAGCTGTTTGCCCTTGCTGAGGAACCAGTAGTGCGATGGGTTCGTCTCGTCCGGAACGATGGTGAAGATGGCGGTGCCTTTCTTGAGACGAATCTGCCGACAAACACGAAATACCTTCTAAGCGAAAATATCGGGCATGACTCTCAAGCCAAGTGAATATTTTCGGACACTGCGTGAGTTGAATCAGTCACGCACATGCGCAAATCGTCAACGGCATATATAGTTTACAGATGCTGTCAAGGCAACAAGGAAATAATCACCACAAAAGAATCCGCAAAAAGCACAAGTTAAATTAGTTTTGTCATTTATGAAAATATTTTTATTACAATAAAAACGCCACCGAAACACGAAGGGAAGTTGAAAAAGTCACTTCAAAAACTTCGTAGAGCCGAAATATACGTAACTATGAACGAAAGCAGGAACTTTATTTGAAACACTGCCTCCAGACTAATCTAGATTCGAATTAAAGCACGTTCGACAGTGCATAATTAACAGTTTTTGTGTTTTTATGCCTCTAACGTATGTTTGACTTCAACACTCAACAAATCAAAGTCATGAATAGAAGTGTAGTTGGCGAACGTAATGGTCACATTAAATAACTATATTTCCTAGAAAAAGGCCGAAAAGTGCGACAAACAATTGCGAAATCTTGCAAGTGACTCAGCGAAAAAAACAAGTCCCATTGCGCTAGTGGCAGCGGCCACTCTCGTCAGCGACATTTTTTAAATTCTACTAGTGCGATGACACGCTTTCATACCGTTTTCGAGAACTTTTCACTTAGCACTGCTTTTTGATATAAAGCGAACACCATCAATGCTGCATACCACATTCAGGTTACGTATGTCTTCGCAATCGGCGCTAAACCACTTGGCATCGTGCACCCAGCGATCATCACGTGCAGAGTTGACTTCGCACAATATACCTGCCACTACAGCTCACTGCGCTTTGACGGAAGCCACAAGTACTTCAGCAGCTGACGACTGGCAGTCAATATGTTTCCTTTACTCTCATCACTAATAATCACGTATCTGATCAATATTGCTTCATGATGTAACCACTGCACGAAGCCTCGCTCCAAAGACTTATGGTTGGGCTAGTCTTGGCTCTTTTACGTATTATGCCTCTACAGTCTAGCACGAGTGGCCTACGAAATTACCGAAGTGATGAGGAGGAGTATTAAGTAAGCTGAAATACATAGCATGCGTTTGTGAAGTGTGAAGCAGAGGCTCTTCATACCATCGGAGAACAAAATATCACAGAAGAGAAAGCAGTAAGAGACAAAGGGCATGACTTACGGCGAAGAGCTTGAAAGCAAGTCTAAAGTGTGGTTCCAACAAAGTATAAGAAGTTCGCTGTGTATATAATAAGTTCGACGGTCCCCTAATACTACTTTTCAACAAAGAATGACTGGATGAAAATATTCTAAGACAGACAACGCACGGTGAACCACGTGGTCAGCTACATCTGCCCACACTGCTAAATGGCAGACCCTCTGGCACACCTCCTACTGAAGTGCAAAGTAAGCCTCCCAGGGCAAATAGAGCAGTACCAGATGTGGACCGAAACCTCCACATTGAAGCGTAGGAGGCTGTGATCCCCCAGCCGAATCCGGTCGACGAGCACCCACTCGTCAACTCGTTGCTCGAGCCCAGCGGGCAGTTCAAGCCAGAAGGTTCTCAAGCCAGAAGGTTCTCGGAATAAGGAATCCTCTCACCTTCACTCACAAGCTTTTACACAATAAATGCTTTCTCTCCTAATCAAGAAAGAAAACACCCCCACCTCTCCGAAGGGAAGCTTGAGGAAACGCGAATGCATTGCATAGCATCCACACGGCGTTTTTTCGTACGTGAGAACAAACCGTTATAAGAGTGCACGATTAAAAAATACTATCAAGTGAACAAAGTGAACATCGTTCTCGGCTCAGCATTGGGGTTTCACAGCAGCGTTTCGGGCACATATTTCTGCATGTTCTTGAGAGGCGCCCAGCCAGCGAACGGTCGAGAGTAAGGAGCGAGTGGACGAGAAAGTGGGGTGCAGGGAGGAGAGAGAGTGAACGCCGAGAGATGGAGCCGCGAAGTACTGCACCTGCCCTCTCTTACACTCTCTTGCACCACATGCGCCGGTTGCTAAGGGCGAGGGTAAACGCGTGTGCCCGCAGCTGTTGCTATGGGAGAGGGTGGTTGGCGAATTTCGACGGACGCCTGTCGTAGCCTGGCTGAGAAATGCATTCACATTTAAAACAAACAAAATAGAGAATAAACACTCCGCTGTGATGCCGTTCTGCATGGATTCTTTTACTCACCTCCCAGAAGCCCTGTCCCTTGTCGGAGCGCAGCAGGCTGGATGCGATGACGGTCTCGTTTTGCTGGGTCTTGAAGTCGACGGAGATGTCGAGGCGCGTCTTGCTGGGCAAATTCAGAGTGAGCCGTGACTCGGCGAACGGAAATGTGAGCGGGATGGTGTCCACCAGGGCGCAGCCGTACTCGACGGGAAATATGCCGTTGTGGCGCGCCTTGGGCTCGCCCTTGCGCAGAGACTGCAGGCAATTGTCCTGGTTGAAGTACACCTCGCGGAAGCAGCCCACAAACTGCAGGTCGGTCACTAGCCCTAGAGAGAGAAGACGCACCGGAGTCGCTTACTGCGGATGGTACCGGAGATGCGCCAAAGGGCATGTACGGTCGTAGGTAATCTCAACTGAGAGCCACTCCGCGGTGGTCTGGTGCCTAAGGTACTCGGCTGCTAACCCACAGGACGCGGAATCGAATCCCGGCTGCGGCAGCTGCATTCTGGATAGAGGGGAAGATGGTGTAGGCCCGCGTGCTCAGATTTGAGTGTACATTAAGGAACCCCAGGTGGTTGAAATTTCCGGAGCCCTCCACTACGACGTCTCTCATAATCATATGCTGGTTTTGGGACGTTAAACCCCACATATCAATCAATCTCAACTCAGACATTCTGCAGTGTGTCTTAAAAAGGTTTGATTTACGCCAGCGCCATTAAGGTTTGGATCTTGTTGCTGAGATGTTACTCATGCATACCGATATACTATACAAGCATAACGAGCTATTATCTACGACAACCACGTCCAGCACCCTGCGACTGAACCAGTTCTAGTCACGCTGCAGAACGTTTGAGTTAAGCTTGTTGACGAAAGTACATTTAATTAGAGAGAGACAAAGAGACAGGAAAGGAAAGTGAACGAGCAATATGAATGCGTAATTTTTTCGTGTTTTTTAAGTGTGATTGGGCAATGGGAAATGTTTCCTGTTGATCAATAGGCACGGTCACGTGAATAGGAGCGGTCACGAAAGTGATTATCACGATTGCGATTATCAGCCAATGCGTGCCTCAAGTCGATACGCCTTACGTATACGCCTACGTAAACACACGCGGACCTGTGCATACTGCACCCCGTGGAGCCTCTAACATAGCGGCTATGTGCACAACGCCCGACAGATGGCAGAAATTTTGCATAAGGTTTATGAAAGAGGCAAGCCATGCGTTTTTTTTTCTCTTATCAATACACCGATCTTCCCCCTGCCCCCTCAGAAAGATTTGAGCACCTAATGTGGTTTAGCACTACCTGCAGGACCGGGCACATTGCGAGCTTTGTGCATGTCTTCTTGATTTAAACCGCCTCCGTGATCGGCACACCAATGAGCAGGCGATGACGCTACTACGTGACGTGACGTTGCGTGATGCCAAAGTGACTTCATGACAACGGCACAAATTATGGCTATCTAAGTCCTCGTAATGCTGTCATCGCGACTTCGTCACATGGCGCTGATTCTTTGCACCACTTCTGTAATGCCACTGACGGCCAATATCAGCATTTGATGGGGCATCTAATTAATTATGAAAGATGTTAGCAACGCGAGAAGACACGACATCTAACAAAATACCTGGAGCCTCGTGAGGCACTCCTCCGATGTAGATGTCGGGATCCAAGTGCAGGTAATAGTTGCTGTCGCTGATTCGAAGCGTGTGAATCATCTTGTCCATGTACAGGGTGACTTGGGTTCCGTCGTGAATCATTGTGAAATTGTGCCACCTGAAGAAAGAAGAAAAATGATAACAAGACTCAAACGGATATAAATAAACGGAACGTGAACCACATACTTCTGGTTTCACCATTAGGCTTCTAAGGAACTTGACTGCAGTCCTAGAACGGATGGCACAAACTAGCCAAGCACTTTATCTAGAAGCAACGGGTCAATCCTCAAAAAAAAGGTCACAGTTTCACAGCAAGGATGAAGCAATAAATGAGATAGCAACAAGCGATGTTATACGAAGCAGGCCTGGCAGTTAACTCTTTTGTATCTTTATGTCGCACAAATCTACAAAACGTTGGTGTGAAAAAATACGGCCATTCTAGGGGCACTTTTTGCCAATTCTTCGCGTTGAGAGCGCACTGTGTAGACTCGATACGAGCCGCCTGCTGATGGCTGCCGAGATAGCAAGAGAGACGTCATCCTTAAATTCAAACATCAAAGATGCTGCTTGAGCGACCCGCTCCCTCCCTCCCCGTGTCTTTTCACGGTCGTTAAAGATGGGCATGGTCTTTGTTCTCAGCTTTGACGGCAGGACTCCCGCGCGGGGCTATGCTATTGCATGCGCCCTCCGAGCGATGGAGATGGGCCGACTCGTTTGATCTGTGCTGAAGCCACACTCGTCGCCCCCGCTCGCGCGCTATTACTCGCGGATAGAAGGACTGAAGCAACGATGGGTTTTATCAAATTATAATCTACGCGAGGCACGACGTCAACAGTGACGATAATAATGGCTAAACCCCATCGAAAGGCTCTATATACTTACTTTCGCAACAAAAGAAGGAAAGCTTGCCGATGCAAACTGAGCTTATATACTCACATCTCGTCGTGCAGGTTCGAGCCCATGGTGACGTTCAACAGTCCTCGGCCAAAGTCAATGCTGAAGAAGAGAGCGCCACCTCGTATGCTGGCCGCTACCGTGTTTTTAGGGTCATGCTCGCCCGTAGCTAGGAAAAGGACCGCTTCGGGAACATATATCTGCAGGTTTAAGGCGAAAATTTCACACACATATTTGCAGCATAAAAACAGACTTGGTGGCCACATATAGTCATAGTCCTTCAATACTTTAAATAACATTCATCACGGTGAAACACACTCTCAGTATGATCACTCTAAGAAAAAAAGATTACATGGAGAGTTTTTACTAAGTCTAGACTTTAAACACATATAGATCTCGTTAAATATGTAATTTGGCTATCTATTGAAGCTTCGCATCTCCTAATAATTTGTTTAAAAATGTAATTAACGCTTGAAGGGAGTAATCGTATATATTTAAGAAGAGTTACATATGTATAAATAAAGACTCAGGACAAGGACACACAAAAAAGAGTAACAGGAAATCTTTTAGCACTTTGTGCTGATGTCAACGTTTGACTGAAATTTCTTGAATCTTAGTAGTGCATCATATTAACGACGGAGAAGCGTTACATTAACATTAAACAGTTGTGATTTCTATCAGCTACACCAGTGAACATTAGCCCATAATAGACGACACGAGCCCATAATTCTCAATAGACCACTCCAATTAGCCAATGACAACTAATATTTATCTGTAAGGTATGCGATGTAAGAAGGTATAACATGGAGAGAATTGAACACGCTCTGAAAAACGGAGGAAACGTCAAAGCAGTGAAGAGAAAACTTAGGATAGGCAAAAGTCGGATGTATGCACTAAGGGACAAAGAAGGCAAAATAACTACTAATATGGATAGGATAGTTAAAATAGCGGAGGAGTTTTACAGAGATCTTTACAGTAGCCGAGACAACCACGACCTTAATACTATAAGAACTAGCAGTACCCCAGATGACACCCCACCAGTAATAAAAGAAGAAGTCAGAAAAGCTTTGGAGAGCATGCAAAGAGGCAAAGCTGCTGGTGAGGATGAGGTAACATCAGATCTGCTGAAAGATGGGGACAGATTGTGTTAGAAAAACTAGCCACCCTGTTTACGAGGTGTCTCCTGACGGGAAGAGTACCAGAGTCTTGGAAGAACGCTAACATCATCTTAATAAATAAGAAAGGAGATGACAAGGACTTGAAGAATTACAGGCCGATCAGCTTGCTCTCTGTAGTACACAAGCTATTTACAAAGGTAATTGATAACAGAGCACAGAAAACATTAGAATTCAATCAACCAAAGGAACAAGCAGGATTTCGAACAGGCTACTCAACAATTGACCACATTCATACTATCAATCAGGTAATGGAGAAATGCTCAGAGTATAACCAACCCCTATACATACATAGCCTTCATAGATTACGAGAAGGCGTTTGCTTCAGTAGAAATATCAGCCGTCTTGCAGACACTGCGGAATCAGGGCGTAGATGAAGTATATATAAACATTCTGGAAGAAATCTACAGGGGATCAACTGCTACCATAGTGCTTCATAAAGAAAGCAACAAAATACCAATCAAGAAGGGTGTAAGGCAGGGGGACACAATCTCCTCAATGCTATTTACCGCGTGCTTACAGGAGGTTTTCAGAAGCCTAGAATGGAAACAGTTAGGAATAACAGTTAATGGAGAATACCTTAGTAACCTGCGCTTCGCCGATGACATTGCATTGCTGAGTAAATCAGGGGACGAATTGCAACAAATGATTACGGAGTTAGACAGAGAGAGCAGAAAGGTGGGTCTTAAAATTAATCTGCAGAAAACGAAAGTAATTTACAACAACCTCGGAAAGGAGCAGCGCTTCGAGATAGGTAATAGTCCACTTCAAGTTGTAAAAGACTATGTCTACTTAGGGCAGGTAATAACCGCGGAGCCAAACCACGAGATTGAAGTAACTGGAACAATAAGATTGGGGTGGAGCACATTTGGTGAGCACTCCCAAATTATGACAGGTAGATTGCCACTATCCCTCAAGAGGAAGGTATGTAACAGCTGTATCTTGCCGGTACTTAGCTATGGAGCAGAAACCTGGAGACTTACAAAGAGGGTTCAGCTTAAATTGAGGACGACACAGCGAGCAATGGAAAGAAAAATGGTAGGTGTAACCTTAGAGACAAGAAGAGAGCAGAGTGGATTAGGGGACAAACGGGGGTTAAGGATAACATAGTTGAAATAAAGAAGATGAAATGGACAAGGGCCGGGCATGTAACGCGTAGACAGGATAACCGCTGGTCATTAAGGGTAACAAACTGGATTCCCAGAGAAGGGAAGCGGGTTAGGGGGAGACAGAAGGTTAGATGGGCACATGAGATTAAGAAGTTTGCGGGTATGAATTGGCAGCAGCAAGCACAGGACCGGGTTAACTGGCGGAACACGGGAGAGGCCTTTGTCCTGCAGTGGACGTAGTCAGGCTGATGATGATGATGACGATGCTGATTTATCTGGGCGAGACTGTGCGAAAAAACAGAGCGAGCTTCGCACAACGCGGTTCTGATGATGGCATTTTATTTCGTTTAGGCCCTCGTGATGTTAAGGAATGAAATTACATATATAGACCTCTTTCAAAATCATAAAGTTCGCTTTCCTGCTATGCAGTTTGAACAACTAATGACGGAATTACTCCAAACAGCTGGTTCAAGTGTCGTTTGCTTACGCAATTACGTGCAAAATGTAGAGTCAGTTCTCTTGATATAAACTCTCATAATAGGCAAGCCCAAGCATGTTTAACTACAACCGTGTCTCTGCTTGAAGCAGAACAGGTGCCATGATTATATGGGAAAATATGCAGTGTAGAGAAGCACACATGCGATTTGTGAAAGGGGTTCATTGTGTATGTTTTAACTTTGTTGCCCTGTTACTTATTCCACAATGTACTAATGATGGCAAACGTTTTGGAAGAAATGCACATTGCTCAGAACCTACAGATATCAGGGGGGGGTCACCCCAGGTAACCTACTTTTCTTCATTTTTTTCCTCTTGAAATCATGAGCTCCACGAGTCGAATATATAACGGCACAAATTTTAAAGCTTCCGGTAATCTTAAAGAGATGACACGACTTCGTTTGTGCTTCAATGTGACATGTTACGTTTGCTTTCTTTCGTCTGCCATCTTCCTCAAAGCGCACTAGATGGTGAGTCTGAGGTATTTTTTATGATATAAAACCTTATTCTGTTGATAGTGCAAGAGAGCATGTTTTGTGAGAAGCTAACGCTAAGGAATGCAAAAATAAAAAGCTGTACCCAGTACCGAGCGTCATGTTACTGAAGTTGGTGGTCACCCTTGCATGAAAGGTCTTAGAAGTCTGGTGATACATATTATGGGAGCGGGGGCTTAGGGCGCACCAACTGAAGAAGGAGAGACCGATGAACGATACCATGCTCACATCTCGCGCTCAGCAGACAGTTGCGGCCGAGGCTTGCACGAGTAAAAAAGTGTTCTTTTGTGCCTCATTTTTCCCTATAAGGAGTTTCTGGCCAGCCACCGGCCAGAACTCCACAATATATATTATCACAGTCGGAACTTCGCTGAATTGTGCCATTCTTGATATCGATCTTACACGTCAACACGAAATGTTTCTCTGACGCGCCCATGGCAAGAGTACTACTTATGCTTTGTCCTTATTGTGTCGATAGCATTGAACATCATGCTGTCGGAGGTGCTAATACCAAGAAGTCTAGAAATAAAAGCTCTACTCGATCAGTATACTGAGCACCGTGTCACTAAATTTCGTGATCATCTGGGGTGATCAGCATGCATGAAACCCTGAGAAGGGTAGGCTATTAATATACTGTTTTCTATCGTTCTATGTAAATGTTTTGCAAGGTATATGCAAACACTCCCAATAATAAGATGGATGTGTGCTGCATACAAGGTCCCTTTGCTCCTACAGAGAAAAGAGGACTTCTTCGCAGCCTTTCACCGAAAGTGACCAGTAGATCATTACCACATGGTGATGACCTCAGGTGACAACCTCATAATTTTTAACTGAAATTGCCATTTGTTTTGGTGAGAAAGGCATATCCCAAGAGAGAGCCCACCTTTTAAATGGGAAGCATTTTTTAGCAAACTTCAGCAATTTTGCGCTTATCTATCTATGTATCTAGCCGCCTACGACTTTTAGCTCTTCTGGCCGTTTTCATAACGGTATCCATACAAAATTTGCTATTATATAACATGACTGTATGAAGAACATATTTGACTAGTCATAACATGAAAATCGTGACATGTATGTCATGATTTACATTTCTCGGTCGTGCAGCTCTTGCGGTGGTTTCATTCCCATCGCTTGTTGCAAAACTAGTATGGTATGACATGACTGCATGCCGAACACAAGTGACAGACCCTAACATAAAGATCATAATATGCGTGTCATGTAACAACATGACCACGTGCCATGCTCATGATGCACTCGTGGTTGTTTCCAGCGTTCCTCCATCAAGAAAAGAGGGAGACGCAGTGCTTTTTCGGTAACGCATCGGCGCGAAATGCAGAATGTTGCATTCCGCGCCAACTGCCGTCGGGCTGCGCCGAAAGACGCTGGTCAGGGCAGTCGCGCCTGGCGTCAGACAATAGAGTGCTCGAGTTTTTCTAACGTTGCCTCGATGTGCCCAGCGTGCACGCGCGTCAACGCTACATTGGAGTATATTGGGCCCTTCATGATGCGCTCGAGGCCGTTTCGCTAACTTCACATATAGCAAATTCGCTGTTACGTGACGTTAATGAATGACGAAAGTATATGAATGGTGCAAACATGATACTGCTGACAAGCCTGTCATTTAGGAAAATGACAACATACCACACTCTCAGCATGCTCGCTGTCGTTTCGCTAGCTCTACATGTACTAAACTTGGTATCACGTGACGTGAAAAAATGACGAAGGTAAACGACACATCCAAACTTGATAATCATGACACGTAAGTCATGTTTAACATAATTTACCTCCGCCTCGTAATATTTTGCAGATTTTAGAGTAACATATCAACCTTCCTCATTCGTGCTCCGCATATCATCGGTTCACGCTGTACGTGGGATCTGCCTTTTTTTTTCAATAAAACTCTGTTTGCCGCCAAAATTGGAGTTCC